TGCAGACAGTACGTGTGCTTGTTGTGAGCCAACAAGCAAAATGACAGCTCTTTCTATTCAACTGATGGCCATGTGAAGTAGTACTGTTGGACAAAAGTCCTTCAGGTAAAGGAAATGAGCAGAGGGGATTTCAATGTGAGTTTTACATTGCCAAAGAGCAAAGAGAAATCATTTGGCTCTGATGAAGAGAGTTCTTAAAAGGAACAATGAAATCTTTCGAGCTGGATGATGGACCTAAATTCTAACGGATTGGAGAAGCATCGAACAAGAAATGAGTTGAAGTTAGATACATTTCTTGACCAAGTGTTCATGTTTGTCTGATCAATATATTTTTGACCTTATATCCAACTGGTTCTGCTCAAGTTAGCCATTAATGGAAACATTTTGGTACAAGAATCTGAACAGTGCCTTGTTACAGTTGATCTTGCCATATGGCCACTGCACATCGCTTTCAGCGATGAATTAATGATCTATTGAAGCTGTCACAATGTAATGGCATTTTTATACAATTAACATTTCCGTGTCTTTATATTTCATCCCAGGAACTGCCTACAAGATTTGTAGAAAGCAATGAACCAAATTTAGTGAACAATTTACCAGCACAACATGTTCAGTTTGTCAGTTCCTCACCTCCCCAACATGCTGCTATTAGTGCAGACTGATTAGTTGCTGAAAGAACTCTTAATTCACCAGACCTTTTCCATCATTATCTAATCTCTCTCTCATTATCTCAAATATACCAGTAATGAGATGCTTCCATGCTCCTGAGAAACCAGCTTTAAACCACGGATTAATCTGGTGGAGAATAGAAGAGTAGGTTTATTTAACTTAATCCACCTTTTTAAAATTCCTAGAATTAATTTTAACAACTCTATCTGCAAAATGAAGCATTTTCTTTTCCTGTAAAAATCTAAATACATTGTACATAACTGCTTGTACGTCACACCTTTCATTGTCTGTCTAATTCACCACAACATATACTTTGGTTAAATGACTGCATGAGTTTCAGAGTTCTTCCACTTGCATTTACAGTGATCCCAGTCATAACTTGCTTTCGAGCCATTGACATACCCTGGATCTGTGTTAAATTTCAGTAGTTATCCAATTCCTTGAGCATCCTGTTCAATAATGAGCATGATCACAGCTCTGTAGATAGTAACAGTCATTTACTTAGATCTTCAAATTTATTAATAAACCTTTGGTGTGCCACTGCAGATTTACTGAAGGACCACTATCACCATTGATAAAGAAATGTGAAAGAGCTGCATGCATTTCATTTTAAAAAAATACAGCTGAATGGGGCTTGAACTTTCAACATTACCTTAACATAAAACTGGATACTTCACATTCAAAGCTGCCTTGGTAAAGCTACCATCAACAGTCAATGCACATCGACTGGCTAACCTTAGCATTCTAGCTAACAGCCACCCTTAAGGGGTTTCACTATTTACATAAGAATTATCAGTGTCCTTCCATCTGCTTCTACATTTGCTACCTCGCCGCCTAACCACTTGTCCAATGCCTCGTTTAAAAAATATATATATTTTCCGGTTCAGGAGTGGCAGTCAGAATGACTTAAATAGCAGATGTGCTAGCTACTGCACACAGCAAAGACTCCCATATTCAGTTCAAGTCAAACCCGACTCTGCCCACGTAGGAACACATTTGCAGCGATGTGTGGCTGCTCAAACCATTCTACAGAAACATAGTTAAAGGAGAAATTCTGTCTTTCGGTGTCACACCCATCACTCATACCTCTCACCTTCACAACACGCCCTGAGCTCATGGCAATAGCCGTCATTTAAGTTTACAATTTTGCTCATGTTTTCATGGTAACACTGCTCACTTCATACTCGAAGGCCAAGTTACTGCAATTATATTGCACGCCCACATCCATTGTCCCTTTGTATTTCTAATAATTGATTTGGAAAGATGACAAATGTGTAAAGCAGATGAAAACGATGCATTTCGTGTGAAGATGGAACTTGCTTTCTTTGCCCCCTCTCCTCTGTGTCTGCCATCCAATCTGCTGCTAGCTATGAATAAGAAGTGAGCAACTAACAGTGGTGGGAATGAAGCTCTCTCATAGCCTTGCCTGTCCTCTGCAATCAGTCTATGGTCAGTGAGATACACCGAGGGCAGGAAAGTCAGGGAAGCAAGCGGATGGCAATGACGAAGACCCTTGCAAGAATGAAGATAGTAAGAGAGAAGGGGAGAATGAGAGATGGATCTGTGGAATGAATACCTACCTTGTGGAAATGGTACCAGCCAAGTGCTGGGGGATTTTATATTTACTGAAGGCAAGATTTAATTTTCCTTCCTCTTGCTCAACATTTGTACCGTGGCTCGGAACCTATGCCTTGGAACCTATATGTACAAATGTGCTAATTGGGTAAGAATTTTTAGTACCAGAACAGTAAAAGAATGAAACAGAGGATACCAGAGCAATGGGAAACAGTAGATTTAAAGAAAGCAACAGAGTAAAGCCTGAGAAAATGAACAGATTTCTTTTAATAAAAAGGAAATCTGCAGAGCGAAGAAACATTGTCTTCAGCAATTAACCGAACACAAAGCAACAAAATAAAATTAGAGAATAAAAATTCCATTTTAAAATGTGAACTTAAAACAAAAGCCTACATTCACAATTGAAACCACAAAGAAAAATGTATGGGATCAATTTACACATAAATTAGAGCAAGCATGCAGCAAAACAAGATGAAATTGCAGAAAAAAGCTGAATCAGAATATGAAACCACTGCTCTGGTTATTTGTAGATTATCAGTCTTTTCACAAATGAAATTGAAGGTAAACGCAGTTGAGATTGTAAATAATTATGCATTCACATGTGCAACACTCAGTTTTTTTTAGAAGAATCATTTACAGTAAATCACAGCTAATGTAATATGTAGCACTCGGTATGATTTTTAAAATGATATACTGTCAGTGTTATTGCACTTTTGGTAAGGTTTCAAGAAAGCAGGATGGATTGCAAATATGTTAACATATATTAAACTGATTTAGGGGGAAGAAAGACAATAGCAATACAAAAAAGGTTTCATTTTTATATCAAGATAAGAGATGCTCACATTAAAAAAAGAGATATAGACTACAAGAGAGTATCAAGATGAAAAAGACTATCTAGCCCATTTGATCTCATGCTTTCAAAATACCCACCTTATCACCTTCCCCTCACAGCTTCAAGCCTTTTCTTAAAGATGCCAGCATTCACGTCTCACAATACCCTTCCTCCTAGTAAAATGCTGGATACGCATCTTTTTAACAGGTTCAGGAATAAACGTTTGCTTATTTAATGCAAAGGATGTAAAAAATTGCCACTAAATAAAATAAACATATTTTAACTGTCACAAACTTTGTCCTGGAATTAATTTGGTTACAATGAGTCCATATTTTTCAGTCTATACTAATAAAGACAAAATGTGTGTGATGTGGGGTGTGTGTGTGTGGGTGTGTGTATGTGTGGGTGACCAAATGACCTAGAGACATGATTGATACCCCATCGGAAAGGTCTTGTGTGGGGTAGTGTCATGGTCATATTTTTTGGGGGGGGATCGCCTATAGTTATATAAAGTATAATAATCTCATAAAGTATAACAATAGTATAAAATGTAATAATCTAATATAAAGTATGATAATCTACATTCATACTGGATCCTTTGGTTGCAAGTGTAGCTGCAACGGGTACAGTTAGTTAGTTTATAAAGAGGAATGAGAGAAAGTCACTATTACCACACCATCGACAATACTGCTGCAATTTTTGCATTTTGAGATAACCAGTTTCATTTTTGCTAACATTATGGAGACATCCCTCTTGCTGATTACACTAAATGATCTATAGCGCTTGACAGAACAGAGATAATAAAATAATCCACATATACCCCAAGGATTCATCCAGTTACTGAAATCAATAGCTTTTTCACAACACAGGGAGATAGTAATTTTAACAATCAAAGATATTACCTACGATCGCTATTGGTCTCTGAATCAAATTAAAAGGTAATGTTTCACTTGGAAGACCAGATTGCATTGCATCATTATGTTTTAAGAAGGTAATACTGATGGAATCTTCACACAAATGTGTTACAGTAACACCCACAAGAATAGAATAGCTCACTGTCATATTCTGAAGGCTACCGGATGCTAAAATGTTGATTTATTGATTTTAATTTTCAAATTACATTAGCAACTCTAATTAAGTGTATTTTCACAGAAAAGATTATTGGTTACAAACTCACTGGTTGAGGAAGCAACAGTCTGAGGTATAAAACCTGAACTTGATCCTTGATTGGCAAAAACTGCTAGGGTGTAGAAGTTCTCTCTGCTTCGCATAACCTTTTCTCCAGCAATACTAAGAGCGTTGAATACGCAGGGCATTTTCTGAATGAATAAAAATCCTATTAAGACATGCCTATTAGTGACAAAGTGACCTGGTTGCACACAAATTACGTTGTAGTGCAAGGCACATGGCTTGTAAATTACATCATATAACAAGACAACACTGGTTGAGATACTTCCCGAAAACAGTGATTGCCAAAATATCCTGTCCAAATAACAGGGAAACCTAATAGCATGGCCGACTGTGACCAATGTCTCAGTGCCAGGATTATAAATGAGTTTTGAGAAAATGGCTTAATTCCAGGTTGCCACTGACATCACTTGTGCGCTTAGAAAGAGACGCTAAAGTCACTTGTTTTGCATGGTTCAGGAAATGCCACTCCAACTAGAAAGTGCACCATTTTGTAGTGCGTGAAGCTGACAAGTCAATACAGAACAAGATAAATACACAGTGGAGACAGCACTTTATGGAAGGGCACTACAGCAGGTATACCCTGTATTGCACTTGGACCCAAAGCTGAAATAGCAGCAAAATTGGTGAATTCGTCTATCAAATTCAATAGAAGCAACATTCAGCTAAAGCAGAACTTCCTTAGCAAAGTTGTGCACAGGTACATTAAACATTTCCAAAGACGCTTGAGACCGACCTGAATTTCGTTTTGAAAACGTCTTCAAACTCCCACTGATTGAAGAATAAATGAGAATCACCAAAGGAATCTGAACTCTCATGTTTTGGTTTGTTCAGCAGCTGAAATAAAAAAACATAATATTTGTAAAGTTACGATTTATTATTGGATTAAAAAAATCTCCTTGAATTTTCTTCCCCCCCAGATGGAGCACAAATAGCAGTTAGTTAACTTAGCATGAAAACCAATTATGAGTTTTAAGAGTTTAACATTTCACTGTTTACAGTGTAGTAGTTCGATGTGTGTACGCTTACAAACATTCAAACTGCATTATAACATGATTTTATTATTCAGTTAATAACAAATAAAATTTTTATGACAAAAAAACAAGGCAGCCACAATTGCAATTAATTCCTTCCTTCAGTTACTTTATTGAAATTCCATACGGCACTTGTGTTCTTTTCAGTGTTATTGTTTTTGAAATCAAATTACACACAAAAAAGTGGAGTACACTCAGAAGCTGGTTCATGACCATTTGATGAAATATGAAGACATTTTCAGTTATTTTGCTTGTGGTGGAAACCACATCTGCAATCACAAATTCTTCCAGATGGCAACTTGCCAAGCTTCACTGCCATCAAGGAGAATCATTCAGTGGTCACAATTGTTTTTGCATCAACCTTTCTCTCCAGGTTATTTTCAAAAGCGAGTGAATGCAGTAAGCAAAATGCTCACCCACAAATAGAATGTGACATGTTTTTAATCCTACAGCTGATCAAACTGCGTCCCTTAAATTCTTAAAAGCATCTTGTAAGGAATATCCATCCCTCGATCGGTCACCAATGTCTGGTGACACAAACAATGGCACTACTTTGATCATCAGGGTATCCTTCTGATGGTTAAGAGAATACGGATTTTAAAATCCAAAGATGAGAACATTTTTAAATTATCTTCCTCCAAAAACTTTTGACTGCCCTTTTCCCTTTCTATTACTGGCTCCTATGAAGCAAGAGCATCTGAATTGCATTACGCCCACAATCCAAATAATGAATGCCTTCTTGTGATTGCACCTGATACAACAGTCGTAGATTAAAACTAAGATATAATCTTGACCACTCGTCAAGAGTCATGGAACAATGTTTTTTTTAAAAGACATTACAATTACTTTTAATTATGATTATTATTATTATTAATAATACATTACATACATGAGGGAGAAGGAAATAAAGGAGTATGTGAGAAAGCATTAGGAGGGGTGAAGGCTCACATGGAGTATAAACACCGGCACGGACAAGATGGAACTAGATGGCCCGATTCTGTACTGTAATGTTCTATGTAATTCAGTGTATCCAATAAAAATATTAGTCTTCAAAGATGGTAAATAATGCAATATGACCTCATACTAAATAATGAAACCAAAGGAATTTAACTTGGGGACACTGGTTATTGCATTCGTCAGTTATTTGAGACACTCCTTATAGACTCACAACTGGTTAAAACTCAAACTCAGGTAGGTTCCTAACTATCAACAGTGAGTGAAAACCTTCACTCTATCAATCAATTTCAACCTTGAGATAAAAGCACAGCATTGTAACTCAGTGCCCCTGACAGACCTCCAAAAATTTATAGGGAATTCAAAAACTGCTTAAAAACACTATTGCAAATTAATTCTTAAAAGAAAAACACAACACCTCAGCAAAGATTTGTTTTGCTTGCTAAAACAATTTGTTTATAGCTTTGTTCTTCAATAAACTGCATCAATATACAGTCTTAACTCTAGATAGATTGAATCCTAAAGGGCATAGAAAAAAAATCCATTAAAATATCAATGGGCTTTCTGACCAGATTATATACTGTATTAATTATTTTTTTACAATAATTAAATAAAAAAACGTTAATATCCAAATATATGCTATTGGAACTATCAAGGGAAATGGAGAAGGCCAAGCTATAAACCATATTCAAATACCTTAAACAATCATCATCATCTTTTGGATGAGATATTAAACTGAGGCCCTATCTTCTGTTGAACATCCCACAATACCACTTGAAAGGGGAAAGAAGTTTCTCTCAGAAAAAGTTCTCAAGCCACAACTACCCCCCCATCCCCAACCTCAGTCAATCGTCAGTCATGCTAACACAAATTGGAGCAAGCACCTTACCTGAATTTAAGGTAAGAAAATTGGGACAAATTGTTTGGGAGAGGCTGGAAATGACTCTTTACAAAAATATCAAACACCGCTGAAGACTGACAAGTGACTACAGATGTGGCTACAGATGTAATCTTTGACCCTGTGGCCTTTCCGCAGAGAGGAACTTTTCACTTCCTCTCTGGCAGTTTCTGGTTCAGGGAAAGGCTGCTCCACAGATGCTGTTAAGAGACACCTCCTGGAAGCAGTAATAATAATCCTTGCATTTTATATAGCGCTTTTCACGTCTTCTAGACGCTTCACAGATTATACTGTAAAGTGAATTGATTGTATATTTGTGGGCGAACACGGCAGCCAATTGCGCACAGCAATATCCCACAGACAGTCATGGATTGAAAATGACCAATTTATTATTGTTTTTGGAGGGATTATTATTAGGCGTGTGGAGTAAGGAAACTTGCCCAAGGTTACGCCCTGCCTGGAATGGAACTCAGGTTTCTCACTTGCAAAGCGAGTACTCTAACCACTGAGCTACAGACTCCACAAGTACAAGTACAACAAAAAAAAAACACAATGTTTTGGGGTTCGCTTTCAAAAACAATCGCCACAAGTGGAAATTTATACAGTATTGCTGAGCATAAGAAAACACAACTGGTCTTCACAAAGAGAAGGAAAAGTTTGGTATGAGAATAAAAGTGGAACACTCAGGACAACCTAATGATTTTAATCCATGAGTGCTTTTCATCCATTTACAGTGAAATATACTTTTGCTGCTTTTAAGTCAATCCTGCAACCTTTGCAATACCATTCTCAGTATTGTTTAGAAGAGATTGAATCTGACTCCACAGATTCTGATATTGTGCATTGCACAACTGCTTTAGCTAATTTCTTCCTCACAAGTCGCTACGAAAAGGCAATTCAGACCCAAAGTAAATAGTCATCAATTGGACACGCAGAAACAATGCTGTTAAATCTCAGAAATAACAATAATAGTCTCAAAGGAAAGGAAATTCATTTGTGTAATATAAGAACAATGGAACTTTATTTTGAGAATTAATTGTTCTATTTGACAAGAGTGGGCATGAATTAAAGGGATACAACTTTATGAGTCACTATTGCTCACTATAGCTTAGTGTTTTGCATCAAAGAAACATACCCACTTACCATTAATAACCATCCAACTGTGATGACAATACTTACTGCTGAATAATGTATAGAAACTGTTTTTCCAAGATAGAACCATAGAAATTTACAACAGTAGAAGGCCATTAAGCCCACTGTATTAGCATCTGTTCTCTAATACCCTTCCTCCACATGTGCCTATCAAATTAATTTCTCTTTTAAAATGTCCCAATTGACTTTTCTGCCTCCCATTCCTCCTCCACACACACCGATATCTCAAGGTATTAAACATTAGGTATAGTATTTGTACTCATGTGTAAACCCTTGTAAATTTTTGATTTCTAAAGAAAACCAGTGCCTATTCTGACCTGGATTCTTTATTAAACAAACCCTGTTAGGAAATACCACACCATTAAGTGTGATATTTAGTCAAAAAGAACAATGCAGTTGGGTATTGAGTCTATAGTATAGTCATTCTTTGCTGTTACCTCTAGATTACTGATTAATGAGTCTGTAATGAAGAACGTTTCTTTAAGAAACTAAAATGGCAAAGAAACAAAAAGTAGGTCAGAGTCAGCTGTGTAGGTGTAGCACAAGTCTCCTAAACCTGTTGCAAGTAACTTGACACATTTAATCACCACATGTTATTGCTATTATCACATCTATGTAATTTAGAGGAATCCCAAATAGATAGCTGAAATGGCACATTAAATATTAAGCTATCCACTTTTCAACATTGCATGTGACAGAGACTAAGCCAATCAGTTGGTCTAAATGACATGTCAAAAATAACTAATATAGAAATAACTTATTTCTGTTGAATATCCAATACCCATGTACAGAATAGCTCCAGAATGTTCTTTCCATTAATAAATCTTGAAGCAGTTCACATTACAAGTCATAGTTTTATCACAGAATACAAAGGTAGACCAGTTGTTTCACCATGTAAAGGAAAGCGCTAAACCAACAGGAACAGATGGGTCCATCTTGCCTTGAATTGAGTCATGGCTCACCTTATACTGTAATGTGATGTCCCAATTCCCTTAGCAGAGTCGGTTGTTGATAATGCCGAGGTTAGATTAGTTAGTAAGAATACCGCAGTTGTTAAATTGATATTGATTTCCAACAAAAAGACCCAACATGACATCTATTCAGCTTGTTGGGTCTCGGCCTTCAAGCCTCAATGTTAAGGTCCTCAATCCAATCCCTTTTGCAGAAAACGCCCGTACAGTCACTACTCAATTTCACTTTTGAGTTTGGGAAATTCTCCTTTAATAATAATAATGATCCTTGCATTTGATATAGCGCTTTTCACCTGACGAGTGAATGACTATTGGTTAAGACTCACTGGTGGGAAAACTTAGTAAAGCCTACGATTAACTCTCCAGTAGACAAGGTTAAATCTGTTCATTTGTTTCCCCTATTCTTCCTGTATTGGGGTTTTGAGCGTTTTTTGCCTCCAGGTTGAACCGGGGACATCAAGAATTCCATTTATTTATTTATTTATTTTTACTAACTCAGGACATTACTCAGGTAAGGAAAGTATTCTGGTGTCTTCCCATCGCTAAACGTTGCTTTAAAGAGCAGGTGAGATGAAATCAATGGCAGAATGGGGCGATCAATAGTGTACAGTTTGAGAATCCAGAAGGGAGAAATCAATCAGGTGGAATGCGAAAGAGTCTCTGAGTTTATCATTATCATCACGAGGCTTCCTCTACGCAAAGCTAGTGCCATATGGACAATGTTACCTCTTCCAAATACAAGTCATTCACTCTTCAGAAGACTGAGTGGCTTCAGGGAATTTATTCGCCTCGAGAAAAAAAAATCTACGGGGTGTATTTGTATATGAGAGACACATGGGAGTTAAGAGTCTCCTATCATTCACTTAACAGTGCGAAAAAAAGTTACTCCCTCTCTCCCCCCACCCCCCCGATTTCATTTCTTAAGAAGTTGCGACAATTCACAGGCTTCTAGACACAACGAGTACGTTATACTTAAGCCTTTAGCGCAATATTAGGCATGTATTAGCGCAATGGCCAGTATGAGTGGGTATGGTTACAATTATTTTCTAACCATACAAGTTGGTATGGTTAGGTTAGAAAATAAAAAGTTGATGCTAAAAGGTGAATCACTGATTGATACCCAAGGTAGAGAAAGTTCTTTCTCTTTCGCTCAACAGAAGGTGGCATCTCACAGGAGAAACTTAAACCACCTGCAGATGTCCAGCCTTTTGTTTTAAAAAAATATATCATACATGAAAAAAAAATCAATCGACACTGGAAACATTCATTAGGGGCGAGAAGCCCACATCACAGTCTGACCAATGTGAATTAATGTTAGCCAATGTAGAGCTGGAACCAATTAGCTCGCAGCCAAATCAATTCAAAGCTGGACAGAAAAAGTCGCCTGATAGCCACACTGTGCAGATCTCCACGCTGTTCTTATTAGAGACTAGCAATCTTCCAGAGAGAGAGAGAGAGAGAGAGTGTGTGACTACATCCTTTCCACACTCTTAAACCCCGGAATTGAATTCACGCCCAACATAATAAAAAGGTTCCAATGGCAACACGATTATGTTGCATTTCTGTTCAATCTCCTGGAGCAGGATTGGGTGAGGTTTTGCAATATGATGGTCCTGTCGTTTTAAAAGGTAGCTACCGGATCAATATGCAGATATATATATATATCTGCATATTGATTCAGTAAATAAAGTTTACCTTTATTTAACGCTTCCTGTAGAATCCTGCAGTTTAACCTCTTCACAAAGTCCTCAAGTCCTGTGCAATATTTGGGTACATCCGATGTATGTAGCTCAGTGGTTAGAGCACTCGCTTTGCAAGTGAGAGACCTGAGTTCAATTCCAGGCAGGGCGAAACCTTGGGCAAGTTTCCTTACTCCACACGCCTAATAATAATCCCTCCAAAAAACCAAAAACAATAATTAAATTGGTCATTTTCAATCTACGACTGTTTGTGGGACATTGCTGTGCGCAATTGGCTGCCGCGTTCGCCCACAAATATACAGTCAATTCACTTTACAGTGTGTTCTGTGAAGCGCTTTGGGACGTCCTCCCGACGTGAAAAGCGCTATATCAAATGCAAGGATTATTATTATTATGTTGTTATTATCTCTACAGGTGTGTCATATTGACACTTATCACACACACATATATATATATTTATGTATAAAAGACACTGCACAGTGCTTGAGTACTTGGGAACGAGGTCAAAACTGCTCAAGGCAGTTAAAACTCTTGCAAAACACTCGAATGATCTTATCCTGAGTCAGAGCATTAATTGGATGCGTTATTTCCTTCTTGTAGCTTAATTTCCTCCACCACCCCCTCACGAGCCTGAATGGCATTTACTGGTGAAACAGTACCTTGCCGGGTTACGCCAACAGCGCACAACAAAAAACATCTGCAACAAGTAATAAGTAAAAATCCTTCCTCCTTTCCCCCCCACTGTGTTTAATTACTTGTTCAGGGCTCTGTCAGACTGCTTCCTTTCCATTTTAGAGTTACAGATGGGTCCTAGTGCTGAAAGTGACAGCGAAAATCTGCTCCAGTCAATAGGTAGGACTCCAAACAGACTGATCTATAAAGCTACTTTGCTAAATAAATCAACTGGGAGCAAATTCTCTTGCTAACTGCTTTGCTGAAGTATATACATGTATATATATATATATCTTTGTGGTTCAGTATGAAAGCTGTTGGGTTTTGGGAACTCGCTTTTTAAAACATTTTTTTTAATACATAACAAAATAGAGAGAGAGAGAGAGAGAGGGGAAGAATCAAGTACCAATGTTTTAAGGTCAGGGGGTACAGTGGCAAACGTTAGAGACTGGGGGGCAACAGCAATAATCAGGTCGGTCGGTCGGTCTGTTTGTCTGTCTGGTGCTATTTTCCGAACACTTTCGCTCTCTCCTTCTCTACCTGTCACATCCCGAATGCACATCCACATCATAAACACACATGTAATCCCATCTTGAAGGGATCAACACTATCTTTCCCCCTTCACTGTCTTCCTGGACGAACCATTTAACCACTGTGACCGCCTGTAACAGTGTCGTTCTCAGCCACAGTCCTTATTAACCCGTTCTGCGTAGAAACCGAATAGCGCGATGTGGAAATTAACCTCTTGAACACATGGAGAGGTGCGTGGGGGGTTGGGGAGGGGGTTGGTGTGGGGGGGGGGTGGGTTAGTCGACAGTTTATATCAATCCTCCATCGTTTCCCTGTGGTTATGAAACTCACACCTCTGCTTCCAATGGTCGAGTATCAGTGGCAATGAACTATACAACACACACCTGTCCTCTACGATGGTACGAGAGCTGTTGCAAACACACACATACATATAATAATAATCCTTGCATTTGATAAAGCGCTTTTCACGTCGGGAGGACGTCCCAAAGCACTTCACAGAACACACTGTAAAGTGAATTGACTGTATAGTTGTGGGCGAACGCGGCAGCCAATTGCGCACAGCAATGTCCCACAAACAGTCGTAGATCGAAAATGACCAATTTATTATTGTTTTTGGTTTTGGAGGGATTATTATTAGGCTCTGTGTGGAGTAAGGAAACTTGCCCAAGGTTTCGCCCTCTGCCTGGAACTGAATATATATGCACACACACATATATATATATATACACACACACACACATATATATATACACACAAAAAGGCTGGATGTGTTGGGTTGTGCTGGATGGTGTTTGCCAGGAGATACACAGAGATGTTCGGCAACTTTAGCTCCTGGAAGGTGGAAGTGTGGGCATCTGCAGGAGAGCAGCAACTCTGACTGAGAGAATGAGTGAGTGAGTGAGTGAGAGAGAGAGTGAGTGAGTGAGTGAGTGAGAGAGAGTGTGAGAGAGAGTGTGAGAGGGAGTCAGTCAAACAGCCACACACGACATTCACAAACACTCTTTTATCATGAGCTGAAATCCGGGGTTTAACGTGAAGGGGAGTTAATGAAAGGCAAATGAAGCACATGGGGGTAAAAGCCTTACCAGTGTCCCAGGAATTGGAGTGCGGAGGCGACGTTAGTGAACATTTATGAACGTGTCCATCACCACCACCACCAACATCACCATCACCATCACCTCCATCACCATCACCTCCATCACCACGAATCAGTGTAGTTGTTGGGTATTTTTTTTTTGGGGGGGGGGGAGGGGGGGAGGGGGGTGATTTCTTTCTTTCTTTCTTTTTGTTGTTGTTGTTGTTGTAGTTGCAGTAATATCTCAGTGCATTTACCGCACCATTCAGCGGGTCTCCGCTATTCCATCGGGTCCGAACGCATCTGATCAATCAACGTCGCTGCGTCTCATCCCTTAATTCTCAGTTGTTTTCGAGCTCCTCTTCGCCCCCTCCACCAAACCCTTCCTCTCTCTCCCCCCCCTCCTCACTCCCCCCCCCCTCCCCACTCCTGGGGAAAAAAAAATCACATCAGTTCATCTCCTCGTGGTGTGTGTGTGTGGAGGAGAGGAGGAGAAGAGTGATGGCTCCACTGTAATGGGTTTCACTTAAGATTCTATTTGCTGATCGATCAATCAATCAATCAATCAATCAATCAAATCGATCGATCAATCAATCAGTTGACACCCGGTCAGTTGGTTTCACCTCCTCTCTCTGTGTTGTCTCAGTGATTACCTGAACACAGTACGAAATCAGAAGATGGTCCTTTTCCTTCCAATTTGCTTCTGATTGATAACCTCTCCTTCTTCTCTCTTTCTCTCTCTCTCTCTCTCTCCTCTGCGATGTGTGTTTCTTTTTTTGGGGGGGAGGGAGGGAGGGAGGGAGGGAAGAGGGGGTTTGGGTGAGAATGCCTCCTTTCTAACACTCTGCAAAAAACAAAAAAACAAATAAAAGAAGGAAACCCAAACGCTGTGGCTTTCTTGTCAGTCGGATCGTTGCTGTCGGTTCTTGTAAAGAAAAGTGTCTTCTCGTCCTGGAAAGGTGGTGTGGGGTTTTTTTTTTCTCTCTCTCTCTCTCTCTCTCTCCCCTCTCCTCCTCCTCCTAATGTTCTCACTTCACGGTGAGATTAATAAATTGCAGCGACGAAACCTCCAAAAAAAAAAAAATGCAATGCAATGGATGGTCCAGTCCAATCCCATCCATCCATCCATCCCTCTCTCCCTCCCTCCCTCCCCCTCTCTCTCTCTCTCTTTTCTCTCTCTTCTCTTTATCTCCTTCTCCTGGAAACGCAGTCAATGAAGTGTGGATAACGCACTGCCCACTCCTCGCTGTTACTGAGCTGAACGGAACAGCACTCACACACAAACCAGGGATGGAGCAGAAGACATCCCAAACGCCTTGTGACTCAACGCAGTTTCCCAGCAAATTTGCTGATCCTCTATTTGTGTGTGTGTGTGAGTTAGTGTGTGTGTGTTCCAGTACCTTTTTTTTCCCCCCCCCAATAACCCCCGGCCACTTGGGAGGGGAGGAAAAGAGAGAGAGAGAGAGAGAGAAACACTGGTACCCTTTACATGTTCCACTCCGCTTCCAATCCGTGCGTTAAGCCATTGGCAACATCCACCTTCGCTTCAAGTTGATGACTGGTCAGGATGGAGAGAGGGGGAGAGAGAGAGAGAGAGGGAGAGAGAGAGAGAGAGGGAGGGAGGGAGAGGCATTTCACTGGGAAGGGTAGAGAACGCGTACATCTAATACACCCGACAACTCAAGTGATGTGAATGAAGTGAGTGAGTGTGTGTGTGTGTGTTGGGTTTTTTTTCTCTCTCTTTCTTTCTTGTCCTCAGCAGGAGACCTCTCAGCGCCGCCTTGTGGTATAGTTTCCTAGACTTGGATCCAGCAAATGACATGAATTGCAGCAATTATATGTGCATATATATGTATACAAATATATACTATGTATGTGGAGTCCTGTAGCTCAGTGGTGAGAGCACTCGCTTTGCAAGTGAGAGACCTGAGTTCAATTCCAGGCAGAGGGCGAAACCTTGGGCAAGTTTCCTTACTCCACACAGAGCCTAATAATAATCCCTCCAATAAACAAAAATAATAATACATTGGTCATTTTCAATCCACGACTGTTTGTGGGACATTGCTGTGCGCCATTGGCTGCTGCGTTCGCCCACAAATATACAGTCAATTCACTTTACAGTGTGTTCTGTGAAGCGCTTTGGGACGTCCTCCCGACGATTATTATTATTATATATCATAGATATATCAGCTTTAATCTATCCATCAATGTGTGCATGCCCGTTAAACAAAGGTGGTTTGTTAGTTGACCAGTGGCCAATCTACAACATATGGGTTGTCCATAATAACCATAAGTGGTTTTTTTTCTCTCCCTCTCTCTCTCTCTCTCCCCCCCTCCCCCCCCCATTGAATATCTGCGAGATCCCAAAGGGCTGTTGATCCTAATTTGCTCTGGAAGCTCTGGCAAACTCAGTCGTGGCAATGATACCTGATCATCACTGGGGGGGGTGGGGGGGTGGGAAAGGACCATTTTAGAGCACTTCCAGCGCACATCACACAAGGATAGTGTAAACCTCGGATGACAGGGGGAATATACATTAATTTATGAAATGGATTGCTAAATTAATGGCGTTGGTTTAAAAATTCCCCAGTCAATGAGACCCAGGGTTAAATGATTTTATTCAGATCACTGCCAGCTACTAAAGCAAATAATATTGATAGCTGAGTGCAAGCATTCAAAAGAAAATCTACAGTACATGTAATGAGAGGCGCTTTTATTAAATGGCCTGCCTAGGTTTGGAAGCAAACAATATAAATCTGAGTGTTTACTGCATACATAGGGGTAATAAAATTAAAAATTAAAATAAATAATAGTATTAATTTGGTCGCTCAATCCACGAGTGTTTCTGTGCGCAATTGGCTGCCACGTTTTGCCCACAAAGTATGCAGTCAATTCACTTTACAATATATTCTGTGAAGGTCTTTGAGACGTCTCGAAGACGTGATAAGGTGCTTTACCGAAATGCAAGGATTACTATTATGACGATTATTATTATAGGACAAATTGGAATGCAAGCAGTGATGATTTCAAACAAAAGCAAATGAATCGGTCATTCATCTCATTGCTCTATGTGGGACATTGCTGATTAGCAATCACTGAATTACAGAATAATACATTTGGGTGAGCACTGCGATGTGTGAAGTTTGAATCAAAGGCATTTTTCTTAATAGGCATGGGCACCGTACAAATACTGCAGTGCTAATAATCCTTGCATTTCGCACAGCGCCTTATCACGTGAGACTTCTCATTGTCTTAACCATTTTTGTCGCGGAAATTAAAATAACCAAAGACTTCCAGCTCTTGAGGGTTAATTAATGCACAATTTTGCATATTATAATCAAGTCAAAACAATAGCAAAGCAACAATAAACATAAAGTGGAGTGTATCCATTTGTGGGAATGCCTAAAATGAAAGGCTCCTTTAAGTGATGGCAGAATCGCTGAATAGCTGGCATCTAGATATGTGCACACAATACAACAAACTGTCAGGTTATTCTTCAGATTATTGTGATTTACTGCATTGTAGCTGCCAACATGACGGCCACTTCAATGCCTGCAACCTTCCCCATTCTGTTCAGGATGGGCGCAGACATCTCATAAATCACCTCGGAAGAAGTCCAAAATTATCATGTCAGATCTCCATCAACGCCCGGAAAGAAACAAAATCCTCTGCATCATTATCGTTCTTACTTACTCATCTGAGGCCAATTTTTTTTCCCCAGCGACAGTACTAATAGCTGCATCTCAAATTACTCTAGAAAATCACACGTCACAGTCTTCAAATTCATACATTATCTTCGAAGTGCATGTTTATTTTCTTGTTAATCTCTATAACTTGCTTGTCATGTCCGCTTCACTCGCTTATTCACTCAGACACTCACTTGTGTTTTTTTTTTCCCCTTTGTGTGCTTGTTGTGTGTGTGTGTGTGTGTGGGGGTGGGGGGGTGGGTGGGTGGGTGTACTCTACAAATCCTGTAAAGATAATTGAAAAATTTACAATTTTTGTTTCATCTCATCTTTATATGACAGAACCCTTCAAGGGTAAAACATGAACATGATAAATTCCTGAGGACATAACTAAGCACAGCCTTTATGACTTTCGTACAATTTAATCAAACTGATTTTGCAGAGGGCCCACTAAAACTGATTGAAATATTTTTACTGCCATCAGACTTCTGCATTGTCATGTCCTTTCAAGTAAAAACATTATATTATGTCAATGCTTGTTAAAGTAACTACGTTTTCAAACAGTCATGAAAACATTTTGCACATTTATGTGTCCCTTTGAAAACAGTTGTGTTTGTTTGATCCTTTTTTTTNAAACCCCTCTCCTGGAGTTTAGCATTCAAGCTAAGGTATAGATCAACAGACTGTGGGCAATCCTTGTGTACCTCATCTAATCAGCTGTTCTTCATGAGTTGAGGTAGTCAGTGGTAATGGTCTATTTAACCATAGAGGGCATTAAAATATATTCCACTTCAGTTCTTACCTTTTGCCCACATGTGATCACTTTTCTTAACCACTTGGTGGGTAATAGTCAAGAGTTGGGACCTTTGCTAATGTTATGCTCTTGTTAGCCCTGTGACAAAGGTGACAGTAGAGATCAACTAACAGTTTAGATAAGATATCAAATCGGGAATCAGCTTCAATTTATCAAACCTCTTCAACTTTAATTATAGAGCCTTTCAGGTCGGGAGGACACTGCGATAGGCTTCATAGGATATTCTGTAAAGTGTAGCGACTGTGTATTTTGTAGACGATTTTGTAGGCGAGAACTTAATTTATAATAAATTATTAGGGTTGATATATTTGTTAAATCCAAGCACAGAGATTTCCACTCCATTCAATTAACCCAATTTTGAATAATGTTGAGGGAAGATTCTTAAAGAATGTTTAAAATTGCAATTACAAATCATTGTATGATCAGTTCTAGAACTTCCCCAATCTCTGGACAAATGCAATGCTTATATATGTTATTTCAGTAGGATGCTCCTCAAAGCTAAACGATGGTGATGCAAAAATACAATAGAAAATGCTGAAAACTATGGGGTCTTCTCTTCATTTTCCAAATTAGGTTTTTATCTCAAGAATAGAATTCCCAAAGGCAGG